TCTGACTCTTGTCCCATTCTGTTTTTTCAATAATATTTTGTCAAGCCCTCAAATGTTTCCCTAAAACTAAACTAATTTCTGTTTGCCTGTTCTAACTCCAGTGTTCATACATTTTCCTACATTCTTGTTTAGACCATATACCGTCTGATTATCAATTTTTATTTTTTATTTTTTTTCGCGTTCACCAAGTTTCTTTCTTTCTGACATCCAGTTAAAGACCTCTACTAATTTGTCCTCACAACGACCCATTCTGTCTAACTTTCACCTCCCACGAGTGCCAAGCCTTCTGGCTAAACAACTGAAACATGCAGAACAAGTTCTTATCCTTAACTTTAACAAACCAAGTTACCATCCCCGGCTCCCCTGCAAGTACAGACCAAGTTGCCATCGTTGGCCATATACAACACCTGAAACCTTGGCTGACTATAAAGAACACAGCCTGTTACGTCCCAGTGTGTGTTTTTATTCTGTTATGTCCACACTGCTGACCCTTGATTGTTCTCCCTTCCCCATTGGCCCACCATTACACCACACTTTCAGTATGACATCATCAGTTAGCTCTCAGCCAATCAGAACACATCTTATTCAGCATATAACATGGAGGTTTTCAGCCAGGAGAGGCCTTTCGTTTGACTTCGGTCCCGTTTGGTTTTGGTTATCGCTTTGCTTCGCTTTTGGTTATTGCTTTGGCTTTGTTGTTTTGTTGGTTTTCTGTTAGTTTCTTTGCTCTTTCATTTGTTTGTGTGTTTATCCTTGTTTTGTCATTACCTTGCCCTAACGTGTTATATGTTCAACTTCAACTTTTGTGTTCTTTCTACCCTGTTCCTGTTGATTACTCTCGTTTTCCCTTATTTGTATTCCTGGTTCACTTGTGTTTTTGTGTGAACTTTTGTCTCTAAGGTTAGTTTAGGTTGTTGGGTACACTTTACACACTTAGTTGACTTTGTATTAATAAACACTAGTTTAGTAGGGATGAGTGCCATTTGTCTTGTATGGTTGTGGGTGGTCAGGGGAGGTTAGTTAAGGTGTTGAAGACGCCGAAGACCGTGTGTTTCGGGTTTTCTTTTGCAGTCAAGTTAGCTTTCCCTCACTTTCCTAGCCAGCTCCATTTTGTTTGTTATTTTCTTTTCTTTGGCACCACTCTAGTTCCTTACCCTTATCACGCTTCCGAGTCCCTCACCAAAACCCACCTGCTTCCAAAATAATTATCCTAAATGTTACACCCCGATACCCCTAGACACTTGGGATTGTAACATTATTGGGGGCTCATCTGGGATTTCAAATTCCCATCCTAAAGATTTTTTTTTTTGGTTGCAGAACTTTGGTGTTGGTACTTTTGTGCATTTTAGGACTGGTACAGGATTTTAATTTGTGGATTGTGTTTTGGCAAGGTACTGTTGTTATGGCTACTTTTGATTTGCGAAAGTTTGTGGAGGAACCTTCCTTTGAGTAGCTGGATAGGTGTAGGAAGGACGAATTGCACCAAATTGCTGATCACTTCCGGATTCAGGTTTCGACGCAAGCTCTTAAAAGGGACATCAAGAGAGCTGTGATGGATAGGTTGGTGGAGTTAGAGATCTTTGCACTAGCGAGCAAGGATGCCGTTTCTCCTGGGGCTGGTGCTAAACCTTGCTATGGTTGTAGAAGAACAGGACGAGGTGCAGGGGGTGGCTGAAGACTAAGCGGAGGCTGAGGTCAAGGCCACATTACCTCCCTTTGAACCGGTCTCTCTGGTCTCCACTGGGTCAAAAAGCGAGACTCGTCTAAAAGTTCATTTGGCCCGCTTGCACATGGAGGCGCAGGAAAAAGCCCAAGTACGCCAGGCAGAATTTGAATTGCGCCGTGCAATTCGTAAGATGGAGATCGAGGCGGAGAAAGAGGTTAAGCTCCAACAGTTTGAGCTAGAAGCAAGAAGGAATGCTCCTGCTGTGCATTCGACCCACTCCCAGGCCTCTAGCATGTCTCCTTTGCAAGTTCCACTCTCTACCACCTTCGATGTAAGTAAGCACATTGCTTTAGTTCCTCTGTTTTGGTGAGACGGAAGTTGATTCGTACTTTGGCGCATTCGAGCGAATTTCCACATCACTTCGTTGGCCTAAAGAGGTTTGGTCACTGCTTTTGCAGTGTAGAGTAGTGGGCAAGCTCAGGAAGTTTGTTCTACACTTTCTCTGGAAGAAAGTTTGCATTACAATACTGCAATCTTACGGGCTTATGAATTAGTCCCTGAGGCTTATTGACAATGCTTCCGAAATCATCGTAAAGTGTCAGACCAGACATTTGTTGAATTTGCTAGAGAGAAGGGCACTCTCTTTGATAAATGGGTTGTAGCCAGTAAAGTGAGTGACTTTAACTCATTGCGTGAGTTAATGCTCATAGAACAATTTAAGAATGTTTGCCCGAACGCATTGTTGTGTATTTGAATGAGCAAAAAATAACTAATTTATCGCAAGCCGCTGTTTTGGCAGATGAGTTTGTGCTCACACACAAAAATGTTTTCATGTCTGCGCGTGCTGAGAAGACTTTGTCTACTCCCAGTTCCCAGTCTCAGTCTTCCCCAGTAAAAACTAGTTCCTCAACTCCTAAAGAGGAGTGTGAATGTTTCTATTGTCACAGGAGAGGTCATATAATTGCAGATTGTTTGGCCCTAAAACGTAAGCAGCAGCAGCAACAGCAACATCCTAAGAGTGCTGGGATTGTTAAGACCATTTCCCGTTCTGCTATTCCTTTGTCTAGCGAAAACAATCTCCCTGACCCTAGTTATGAACCATTTATTATAGAAGGATTGGTTTTGCTAGAGGGTAAACAAAAAGATCAGAAACCAATTCAAATATTAAGAGATACTGGAGCAGCCCAGTCGTTTTTTGTTGCGGATGCACTGCCCTTGTCTGATCAGTCTTTTTGTGGTTCGAATGTATTAGTTCAAGGCATCGAAATGTGTTTTATGAAAGTGCCTTTACACTGTGTACATTTACAATGTGGTTTAGTTACTGGATTTGTTAAAGTTGGGGTACGTCCTTCGCTACCCGTTAAAGGGGTAAGCTTTATACTGGGAAATGACCTGGCTGGTGGAAAGGTTAAGCCAGTGTTATAAATAATGGATGAACTGGAAGCTCATGCTCGTGATGAACTAGTAGAAACATTTCCTGATGCATTTCCCGCATGTGTAGTTACTCGTGCTCAATCAAAGAAACTAAGTGACTTAGTAGGTTTGTCTGAATCTTTTTTAGTACATGAGGACAAGAAACAGTCCTCAGCAAAAAGATAAGATGTAGGATTCAGTTTTCTGAATAATGAAATAAAGGGGAAATTATCTCGGGAACAGTTAGTAGCTGCTCAGAAAGTGGATCCTTCTTTAGCTAAATGTTTCTCTTCTGTAATTAGACTTGAGGAGGCTAAAGAAAAGAAAACTGCTAATTTCATGGAAGACAGGTTGCTTATGTGAAAATGGTGTTCCAATACTACAGTAGACCTGGACTGGAATGTAGTATTTCAGATAGTGATGCCATTAGGCTATCGTAAACAAATACTTGCTCTCCCCCATGATCACCAATTATCGGGTTATTTGGGAATCATGAAAACATACGATCGAATCCTTAGACATTTCTTTTGGCCTAGTTTGAAGTCTGACGTTGTTCAATTTTGTAAAGAGGCACGCATTTTTTATCTAGACTTTTTGCAAAAGTATTGCAGTCTTCAGATATCACACATTGGGTGTCAAGTGCCTACCATCCTGAAAGTCAGGGAGCTCTTGAAAGATTTCATCAAACAATGAAATCTATGTTAGGAAAGTACTTTTATGAAACAGGAAAAGATTGGGATGAAGGCATTCCATTGATATTATTTGCGGTCCAAGAATCTATGGGTTTTAGTCCCGCAGAACTTGTATTTGGACATACTGTTAGAGGTCCATTAAAAGTGTTAAAAGAGAAAATGTTAAACATTGGAGAAAATCCTAAAACAAATGTACTAACATATGTAAGTAAATTCTGAGAGCGCCTTCATAATGCTTGTTCACTAGCAAGGGAGACATTAGGAGTAGTACAGAAAGGCATTAAGCGGTGTCATGACGAGAAAGCTGTTGCCCGCATATTTAACCCTGGTGACAAAGTTTTAGTTCTTCTGCCCATTCCTGGTTCTGCCCTTTCAGCACATTTTTCTGGACCATACATGATAGTTGAAAAACTACTGACTGCAAGAGACAGACTCGAGTGTGCCATGTAAACATGTTACCCCTAGACACTTGGGGTCGTAACACAGCCTATAGCACTTACTGGCATCTAGACTCACCAGGTGCCTCAGTCCTGGGTTAACCACACTAGATGGGCGGAATGCTATCAAAAACAATTCCTCTATCTCGACCCGATAAATAAAGGTTTTGCCTAGGACTTTCCAGATGTGTACACACACACACACCTCAGCTCTTTACATTCTTTGTACTCACTGCAGTTCAGGAAATTCCATTCGAAGCCGTGGAGAAGGGACTTTTATAAAGAGGAGTCCTAATCTCTTCAAAGTAGCAGCGCCTTGCTTTTCCCCTTCACTGCTCCGTCAGAGTTCTGTCACTGAGAGTACCCTGCTCACAGTGCCAAAATTGTTGTACCAAAAAAAGGTCATCGGCTGAGAGTTTTTGTTGAAAGTCGTCTTTATTTCATAGGCATATGGAAGTCTTGCGTTTGGACACAAGACTTCAAAGACGACATTTACAGTGCTCTTTTATATAGTGAAACAAACCATACAAGATACACTTCCACATGACTCGCTGCTTGCATTGTGGCTATATATGACCATTCTAGAAAGCTGACCAGTACATATATTTTCTTATTACGATACTATCTTAAACAGAAATGGTTAATGGTGTGTGACAGAAAGGCAATTAGAAAATCAGTCAGTGAAGACTACATTGAGAAGGTTGTTATGCACCACAGAGTGCATGTAGGTCATAGAGTGTATATAGTGTATGTAGGTCAGACCCAGCTGTAATGGAATGTCTCTCCTTGTAGTGTGCTGGCCTCATTGAACCTGCCAGCTGCTCTAGAGGACCTGTCTGGAGACAGTGTTCCACAGTCTATCCTGGAAAAGTCCAGAGCCATCATCCAGCAGGGAGGACTGCAGAGCATTGACAGACTCATCAAGGACCTTCCTGAGCTGCTGCAGAGGAACAGAGAGATCTTGGATGAGGTCACTTCCCTTTTTTACACTTCAGAAGCATATTTATATCCTCCATTTACTTTAATTTATCCCTGTACTTTCTAACATCCCACTTTAAGAAATAATTTCTGGAGCTGTTTTTGCTTGAACAGTTAAGTAGTATGGTAAAGAAAAATCTGTGGAGAGAGAATGAGAGGATTATGCAGCTTTTCTAGTAGTACCAGGTAGTAAGAGAAGTAATGAAAATAAGGAGATATGAATATTTTTGAGGTGTTAAGGATCTAGTGAAAAGATGGATTTAACCTTTTACTTTAATAAAAATAATAAAGATTAAATATGAAGATTAAACAATAAAAAGATAGATACCACAGATTAAAGTTGTTAAATTTTACAAACATGTTGTTGGAAAAGTAAATGTACACATTAATTGATTTAAATAGTAATTGTGACAAAGCAGCATGGCAAGAGGGATAGCCAGCTGAGTTCTGTAGTTATACAAAACAATGACATTTACATGAGGCAAAAGGGCATATAGAAATGCTGACAATGAGTGCCTTATTAAAATCAGAAGCTAATAGAGCAAAGGAAAAGTGAAAGAAAATCATAGACCAGTAGACTCACTAGGTGAAAACAGTAAATGTCCTTTTAGACAGCTAAACAGTACAGGAGTGGAGAATGCCTGAAGTAGGGGAAAAATTAAGAGAAAGCATTCATACTCGCCTTTTGTAGAAGGTCAGACTTGAGAGATGCTTTCCATAGCAAAGTAATGGGAATAGAGAAAGAAACAAGAAAAATCCAACTTGAACTGTGTTAATAGTTAATAGACAAACTAACAGTCGACAACATTACACTGGGGAGATTAGTTGGCCACACAGTATGCAACAATGGATGAAGTAAAGAAATATTACCATACTAACAATGAGCATCAAATTAGGTAGAGCCGAACAGTAGTGCTCTCCTTACTTAGACCGATGTGATTGTTTTGTTCCACACTGAAGCCATTTATGATGTTTCAGTTAACACCAAGACTTTCATCATGGTATGCACCATTTATTTTTTAATGTTTGAAAATCTTTTTTTTTTGCATTGGAGGTTCAGAAGCCTCCAAGCTTAAATCTTCTTAAGAATTATTTTTTATTCTTAAATATTATGTGAAAGTATTATGTTGCTGTAAGACATTTCAATAAAAGAACATCAACAATAAGCGATGTGTATATTTTTATAGTCACTGAAAATATTGGATGAAGAAGAGGCAACAGATACCGAACTCAGAACAAAATTCAGTCAGCGCTGGCAGAGGACCCCTTCTAATGACCTCTACAAGCCCCTGAGAACAGGTGTGTATGTGCTTGCTCAGAATCAAATACATTGGTTTCTTCTATATTTTTAAAATATACTTGCCTCATCACAGAGAGAAGTGGATAAAACAATTGTCAAACAAAATATGAAGATATTATGTTATTTGTATTAATAAAATATAAATTATATGTCAGTATATTTATATAAAAACATTATCTTTAGTATTCAAAGTTCTACCTTTTCTTTGTTTATAAGTTCAAACTATTGGTCACTTATTTTGCCATACAGATGCAGCCATTCAAAACGAGCGGGCGATACTGCATTATTTTGCGGTGCGCTTTACGCACTCTGCCGTGAGTTACCGTAAATTCTCCTATAATACCGCAAGTAAAATAATAGTATCCGGAATTTCCGCAAGGTGGAGCTAATAAAGCTCAACCTCTCATGTTTGAGCTGTCGCCATCAAAGTCTAACGAAGATATTACTAATAGTATTAATAATGAATGACCTTGGAGAAGCTGTAAAATCAAAGTATTGCC